AGTCCAAGGAGGGACTTAAGCCCCTCCCTGGTGACCAGGGGGCTATCACCATGTATGTTGCTTCATGAATAAGCTAGCACTTGACACAAATCAAAATTTTGTCTGTGGAAGGGATGAATTGAATGGTATGGGAAGAAAAAATGTAAGTGAAAGTTCTCCAAACCTCTCACGTCTTGTTTGATAATTCAATTCAGCAGTTAAATTTAATGGATTTAGATCTTAATATGTTCAGATGCGTTTGATAATAAAAAATTGAACATCTGAATTAATTAAGTGGCACTAAATTTTTTGGGTAAAACTTGCTCCAAAAAATAAGTGATAAATTATTCACTTATCATTGAATGTAATATATACTCAAATGCATTTCACTTTATACTTAATAATTCAATAACTTAATGAATTCAGACTTTAGACTTCAGATTTCTTTTTTTTTTTTTGTCAATAAAATTCGAATTTTAGATTTTAGTTTTACCAAATGCACCCTTAGACTTAGAAAGAAAAACGGTTATCCAACGGGTGTCTCGTTAAAATGTAATTAAGTGTTAGATTTTTAGAAATATACGATTAATTAGTAAAAAAGTATAAATGTGATTGAATTATTTAAAAAAATTGTATAAATATAAGAGAAAGCAGTAATTATTAGTGTGTGTACCCGTATATATACAATATATAGGTTGTGCGTAGAAAAATCCAAAGAAAAGAGTCAATTTCTACCGTAACGTGCAGGTCACGCAATGCCAATTGACAAGCTGCACGAGAATATCCATCACAGTCTCTTACCAAATGTCCCAATTCGCGTCACCTCAGTGGCTAATTGGTAGCCTATCGACTGTCAGCTGAACCGAAACCCCGTCTTCCCCCATCACAGGCTATAACCCACCTGGCTCCCCTCTTACCCTTCCCGTGACCCTGATTCGGACCCTGATCCGGACCCTGATTCCCCAGGAAAAAAAGGAAGTATATGTTTCTGATGCAGCTGAATAGTTAAGAAGCCAAGAAATAGGATGATTTTTCTAAATCCAGTATTCATCACCTTCTATCTTTCCTTGATCTTAATCACCCCTTTATCTTCATCCGAAGTCTCAATCTCTGTAACCCCAAAAACAGTTCCTAAATCAGGAGATAATCTCACGATCCAATGGTCCGGAGTTGACTCGCCATCCAAGCTCGATTGGCTCGGCATTTACTCCCCGCCCAACTCCTCCCACAGCGACTTCATCGGTTACTTTTTCTTGTCTTCCTCACCCGGATGGAAATCCGGGTCGGGCTCCATTTCCTTGCCTTTGATCAATCTCCGCTCCCAATACCAGTTCAGGATTTTCCGATGGTACGAGTCCGAAGTCAATCCGAAACATAAAGATCACGACCAGAATCCCTTACCCGGGACGAAGCATTTGTTGGCGGAGTCTGAAGGAATCGGGTTTGAACCGGCTCGGGGTCCGGAGCAGATTCACTTGGCTTATACGGGTAAGGAAGACGAGATGCGGGTCATGTTTGTCACCCCAGATGGGAAAGAGAGTACTGTGAAGTACGGGTTGAACCGCGAGAATATGGATCAGGTTGTGGGTACTCGGGTCGTGAGGTATGAGAGGGAAGATATGTGTGATGCTCCAGCTAATGATAGTGTGGGGTGGAGGGACCCCGGATTTATTCATGATGGGGTTGTGGTAAATTTGAGGAGGGGAAAGAGATATTTTTATCAGGTAAATCATTTTGTTAATTTGGTAAATAATTTTTTAGCACTAGCATGAATCGTGTTCTATGCTTTTGTACTATCTGGATAAGTATTACATCTCCATTAGGCTAGTGGTCCTAATTTAGTGCTGTTTAACATTTAGTTGGTTGAATCAGATCATAAAGATGGTTTTTCGTTTTTTTTTTTCAAATTTATTTTGGGCGGGTATCATCAAGACGGTTTCTTTCATGTAGCTTGTCAAATTGATTGTGGGAGGAATGATTTCAGTTAGATTAGTCTTATCCCTTTTCTGATTGAAGTGCAAGGTTTAACCGAAAATGGGATAATCTTTAAGCTACAGATTCAGTTACTTTGGTGCTTCTAATGTGTAAGTTAGTCCAAGTTATCACATAATTCAACTTCTGAAATGGATTTATGCAGGTATGAATGCTATGTGAGATCGAGGCGATTGTATTATTGCAATTGCTTTTAGATTGAGTTAGCATCTGGAGGATGTCATAGTATGGTGATTTTAGAATCATAAGTGGCAAGATGATCTTCGGTATATACTCAAAATTATAGACGAACTGGCCAGTTTTTGGATATAGGCACACTTGTTGAATTCTACCTGCTGTAATAGTAGCTTTTTTCTGCCAAAGTTCTAAATTTGTGGCAGTTTAAATTAGCCTAAAATATGAAACAATCAAGTTTGTGTAGTTGCAGACATGGAGCTTAGCCTCCAAAGGAGATTATGCTGCAAGAGGATATGCACTTATTGCTAAGTTCACAACAATATGAGTTTTTAGAAGTTGTATGTGCTTGCTGTAGCCATTCTTGAAGAATATTGCATGAATGGAAACTAAGGATATATGATTTTGTGGTCAGATTGTGCTTTAATATGTCTTTCACATTCTAGCTATCTTCTCTTTAGGTGATTGTAAGCGTAATTTGTTGGATTAGCACTTGAGGTGCTGTCTTGATCTGTGATTAAAATCATAAATATCTTTGCTGGTCCTGCACTCACTTGAAACTTGTATGTATCCCCTTAAAATTATCGTTGCAGTTTCCTTTATGTCGCTATGTGCTCCATTTACTGTCCTGTTCTGTATTTTCTCCAGATCCCGAAATTTTAATTTGCTTCTTGATGTTATTGCTTGTATCTTAGCTTATTTAGCTTTCTTTAAGCATCTTCAAATATATGCAAGATGTGATCTTGGTTATTAAAAGGCGGCGCTCCTAACTTCTCTGCTTTGTTGAATGTGGTGATACTGACTGACTTGGAATGATAAGTTCACTATTTCTGAAGCAAAGAATTCACTCAAATTTGTGTAGATAAATTGGTGTAATTTAGGATGTATTCTGCTTATATGCTTATATTTTGATCGGCAAGACTTTCTAATTACCAGAACAACATAAATTTAACAGGTTGGCAGTGATTCTGGTGGTTGGAGCATTACCAACAGCTTTGTGTCACAAGACGGTGACTCAAATGAAGTTGTAGCTTTCTTATTTGGAGATATGGGAACTGCAACACCATACTCGACTTTTCACCGAACGCAGCAGGAAAGCATATCAACCATCAAGTGGATCAGCCGTGATATTGAAGCTCTTGGAGACAAGCCTGCTTTGATCTCCCATATTGGAGACATCAGCTATGCAAGGGGCTATGCTTGGTTGTGGGACAACTTTTTCACACAGATTGAACCTGTTGCATCTCAACTCCCATATCATGTATGCATTGGTAACCATGAATATGATTGGCCATTACAGCCTTGGAGACCTGACTGGTCCTACTCAATATATGGAAAAGATGGAGGTGGTGAATGTGGGGTACCCTACAGCCTTAGATTTATCATGCCTGGAAATTCTTCAGAGCCAACAGGAACACGTGCACCAGCCACTAGGAATCTTTACTTTTCTTTTGATTTGGGGCCAGTTCATTTTTTATATTTTTCAACCGAAACCAATTTCCTTCAAGGCAGTAAGCAATATGAGTTTTTGAAGCAGGACCTGGAATCGGTTGATAGAAAAAAAACCCCCTTTGTAGTTGTCCAAGGACACAGGCCAATGTATACCACAAGCAATGAAATCAGAGACGCCCCAATAAGGATGAAAATGCTTGAGCACTTGGAACCTCTTTTTGTGAAGAACAAGGTGACTCTTGCGTTGTGGGGCCATGTACACAGATATGAGAGATTCTGTCCATTAAACAACTTCACTTGTGGAAGCCTGGGAATGAATGGGCAAGGGTGGGAGGCATACCCTGTGCACATTGTGATAGGGATGGCAGGCCAAGATTGGCAACCAATATGGGAACCAAGACCAGAGCACCCCGATGTTCCAGTATTTCCACAGCCAGCACGCTCTTTGTACCGAGGTGGTGAGTTTGGTTACACTAGGCTTGTTGCTACAAAGGAGAAGCTTACATTTTCCTATATAGGGAACCATGATGGGGAGGTGCATGACATGGTGGAGATCATGGCTTCAGGTCAAGTTCTCAACGGTGGAGGTGGTAGTGGTGCTGAGTCCAGTAAAGTTCTGGAATCTACATTTTCGTGGTACGTGAAGGTTGGCAGCTTATTGCTTCTAGGAGCTTTTATTGGTTATGTTTTTGGGTTTGTATCACATTATAGGAGAGACACTGCTTCAGGGGCAAATTGGACTCCCGTAAAGAATGAGGAAATCTAATCCAGATATCCTTAGTGCATACAGAATTTGCTCCAGGTTTACCTGTCTCGACATAGACAACTTTGGCCATAGTCACAGCATGTGCACACTATATTAACAATGCTCCACTGGTAAATCTAACATCTACTGTATCATAGCTGTCTGTTTAGATCATGTCAGATTCTATGGTGAGGCTTGTAAATATACGGTTGTGATGTATGCTTCTGTAGGTAATGTGATATCATGGAAGGTGATTTCCGAGAAGGAATCTCTTACTGGTGATGTAAGCTTAAGATTATTGGCCTAAAGTAATCTGCAGTGGTGTATTCATGAAAACTGTTGAGCAAATGCGAGTAAATGTTGTAAAGCACTTTGTACGGGATTCATATCACTATTGTGCAGGACCTACTTTTCTATCTTCCCATATTGATTGTTAGCTTAAGTTGCAAGCGTTTACATTCGTAATGTTCTCCTTTCTAACATTCAGGTTGCAATTCTGGGTCTCTATGTTCGAATCTAGAATTGTTTACCAATTGGCTAACAATGTAAACCAACTTGGCTTGATCTTGTATGCTTTTCAATATCAAATAGCCGATGTGTGCCAAAGGGGTTGCATGATGGAAGTAAAATTGTGTCCTTCTATTTTAGGTAGCAGAGAGAGATGCAAAATTGCATTTCGGAAACTTTATTTCCTTGATCACTAAAAAAGAATAGATTTTACAAGACGCTAAAATGGACACAAGTTGTTGAACCAAGAAACTATGCAAATCAAGAATGAAAAAAATGGCGTTGGAGAAAGCTGCTGTCCTGCAATATCGTCTCTCACTTCGCAAGTAACTTGCGGGCACGCTGATTGGCACCTTTCACCCTTGAGTTTAATTCATCCACCTCAACTGACAGATGATCCATAGCTTTGTTTTGCCTGTAAATCCAGGGTCCATTTTTAAGGATACATGGAAAACAAATACTAAAAAAGAATGGGAAGAAGCATAGAACAACCACACATTAGAAAACAAATAGAAAAAGCACAATTGTACACATGCACATTGTTGGCTATGTTCTTCCATCATTTGTGTTCCCTTCCTAGATTCATCATCATTCGAGTTTTGAAGCAGTGCATAGACATCTTTAATTATGATTTTGTCGAAGTCATACACATTAGAAAGGCAACTTACGTATCAAGCTCGGATCCCATTTCAAGAGCCATGCCCTTGAGATCACCCAGTATATTGCTCAGATCGCCAAGGGCATCATCTTGCTTTGCCTTCTCCAGCTGGTTTTAGAGGATCCGTGTAAGATGACAAAAATGAACCAGACCAAAGATTCAAAATATTCTACGTTAAAAGTCACTGGAATTCGGAACACAAGAATGTACCTCAACGTTCTGCAAGGCATTCGTTGGTTCAGGAGGAGGTGTACGAGAGGTTTGCTTTCCTTTGGGAATGGGAGCTAATCCTAGCTTCTCTCTTTGCTCTGCACTAGCTTTCTTTGCTTTCGAATTATTATCTGTGAAATCAATCCATTATATAGTGTGTGATGAGTATAAATGCAGTTATTTTGATATGGAAAGCAGCATCACCATATGACACCATTTTCCTTTCTGATCTTGAACAAACTAGCAAGTTATTAAACACTGAGAACAGATAAGTAGAGAGCACAGAAACCTTGTGTTATCATCGGCCCTGTGATCTCCCTGGTCTTTTTGGGCTTCCAGGGCATCGAGAACATGCCCCCGAGATTGTTCAACAATTTTTCACCCTATAATGTAATAGATTGTCAACAACTAAAATCCTCATAGACAGTGAAAGGGAAAATAAAACTAAATTATCCATGAAACAGATGGTGCAGGAAAATGCTAGCAAAAAAGCCAATAACCATAAAACTTCATTCAGTTCATCTTATCATACAATGTAAGATTCTTCCTTACCTTGCTCAAATCACGGTCTAAATCTGCAGCCATCATATGAGTCCGGGTAATTTGCTCGCCCTGCGCGTGCAAGGTTTCAAGAGTACGAGTAGCATCCTGTTTCATGTCCTCCGCAATTTTGAGGCAATTGTTCACAGAATTTGTGGTCTGCCGAGCTTGGTCCACCGCATAATCCTCTAATTGTTGAACAGACATGTTGTCCAGTTCTTTCTTGTCAGCAGGACTATTTTTATTTCTATTCTTATTCCTAGTGGCTGTACCTCTTCCAAAATAATCATCATCATCATCATCCATATCTGATGTAATAAGCACTGGTTCAGAAGAAGTTCTTCTTGCAGGTGTCATGGTTGCATTCTTATCCTGTCCGGCAGCATCATAATGAAGAGGGCTAGTACTTGTAGAAGCCGGCTTGCTTTTCATAAAACCAAACATTTTTGTCTATAGGTTTTTCTACGGACAAGTGATCTGATAAATGGTAATCTAGCTGCTGGCTGTACCTGGAAGGACATTAAAAGCTAAAAGAATTAGTATCCACCCGTACTAGCAAAAGTAAATAACTTGCTACAACTGGAAAAAGGGGTAAAAAACCATCATCAGCCAAGAGAAGATTCTGAAAAACTTAAGAAACAGCTATTACAATATGTTGACATCGCTCTAGATATCAGAGAAGAAATTGAAACATGAAGTAACTGCTTATTTGGGTTTTCCTATAGGCAAGATTTGATTGATGCATAATGGACTAATGCGGAAAAAATGAGGACAAAAATCAGGCATTTAAATTGCCGTGGATCCATCATGCCCTGCATGAGGAACGAAATTGTTGATAATGCAGTTAAGATGGAATACATAATCATGCAGCGTATAAAGAAGGGACACTTACAAACTAAAAGAAATCAATAAATGTTGAATTTCAAGAAATAAAGAAAATGACAACGGGGTTCAATTTAACACCTTCAAAGACAGCAAAAGGTGATTTGGAAAGAATGAAGAGCAAATCAGACCTGGTGCAGAATCAGCTAAATGCTTTATATAACAAGCTTTGTACTGCAAATGGCAATGAAGATTCTGAGGCGTAGGAGATGAAGAAAAGTTGGAACGTTGTGAAAGTTCTTCTCTCCTACGCGCAGAATGGCAGAAAAGAAAGACAAGGTCAGAGGAATGGAAATTAGAACCCTTTCTTTAGAAAGTGCGAATTTTTTTGTCCTGTGAAATTTGTGGATTTGAATTGAATGATTCAAAGGACGACTTGAGGAGCCGCGAAAAAAATGGTGTTGAAGTTGTAGGACTTTTAAACACTTGTTTGAATGGAGGTACAAATGGATCAGGCAATACATACATACATACATACATATACATATATATATATATATATATATATATATATGATAAGTAATAATTTAGAAATTGAGAAAAAGGCGATTAAAATTCAAGACATTTAAATTTTGAGATTTTAATTTTAATCACTGAATCAAGACCTTCTGGACACTAAGATAAGTGACAAAATTAATATTATTGACGTTCAATTAATAATCAAGGAAAGTTAATAATCATAGTAAAACATGAAATTAGAATACCATCAAAAGGAAAAAGAAAAGTCATTTTATATAAGCAGCAGCAAAGATTTATGTACCGTCCTCAGGCTTGAATAGTAGAGAGGGCATTGGTGCAATTAGATAGACAATCTAGTTTTGTTTAGTTCGAGCCTTGCATGCCAAGGTAAGAGAGTCAAAACTTCATGGCATTTCTTTTTCCTACCAAAGTGTATTTACATCATCCGATATTCTCGCCTTGGGACGGTTGGAGATCAATGGAAAGCCAGAGGTCAATTCAAATAAAGTTGCGATCGAACCAAACTAATTAACTAATTATCTCTTCTTCTTTTTTTTTGTCGGCAACGATAACATTTTGTATAATCTAATTAATTCTAATCTACAGGAAGGATGAGCCTAAAAAGACGGTGTAAGGTAGGTATTCAAATCTGACTATACCAAAGATCAACTTTAAATTTTTGTTTACTGTGGGTGGGTTTTAGACTCTCTAACCTACAGTTCAAAGAGGAACTTACCAAATATCAAAGGGATGCTCTGGTACCACATTTAGATTTTATTCATTGCAGGTGGAGTTTGAACTCTCGATCTACAACCCAAAGCCCAGTGATTAATTTAATTATCTCGAACACTTAAAAAAGAGTGTACATAACACAAAAATGAGAAATTTGGGATAGTTTTAGACCGTGAAGGCAAACGTTATTATTATTTTCTGAGAATTAAGTAATTAACTGGATTAAGAAATTAATTAACTTAGAAATTCACCAATTACCATCATTTAATGGGACAAACTTTTCTGTCAATTTTTCAATTTGATGTGCGGAAAGGGTGGCAAAATGCTGGACCGTCCATTGTTGAGTTTTGAATCACTTTATTGTAAAAAAAAAAAAAAAAAAAGTCTGCCTTTCGAATCAGTCAATATGATGCTTACTTTTCTGATTTGGTCCCCCCCAATAAAAAGCAAAAATCTAGAAGCCTTTTGTTCAGTGTAATATCTTAAATATGCACCAAAAAATATCTAAAATTTGGTAAATTTGAGAGAGCTGGACAGAGACAGCGGAACAGAACGCAACAGAGATGGCTGAGTCACACACATACTCGGAAAACGACGAATCAAATATTTGCTCGTTTCCAACATGCAAAAAATTCTGTTGATTGATTCCTTCATTCACTCACTCACTCCCTCCCCCAAGATAAGACTTAAGAAAGAGAGGGCAAGTCCACTGGCGACTGCAAAAACAGGCAATTCTGGCGACCTCTCAAAAGTCTCTGCTGAGCAATCGAATTTAATGGCGGCGACGGCAATGCCTTCCACTAACTCTATTTTTTGTCATTCATGCATATTCACCGACTTCCGTGCAAAATTGAAATCCAGAATTCTGCTGCTGAATCATACTAGTCGTATAAGGAATTCGAGAAGCTTCCGATATTATTCGCCAAGTCGGAGAACAGGCTGCCGTTTCTTCGCGAAGAATGTGGCCAGTCATCAACAACAGCAGCTACAAGATCCTTCTACCAATCGCTCCGATGGTATGGTGCTGCTACTACATTTTATACTAGCTTAGTTTCACGCAGAATTAATTAAGGAAGATTAAGCTAATGAGAGCGAGAAGTATTATGGAAGCTAGACGTTTTTGTCGAAGTGGTCGGCTGTTTGAGCATTGAATATTGATTAGCTGGATGTGAAGCCATTGGTCGCAAACATTGTACGTAAAATTTTGGTGGAATGGAATTCTCTGTATATAATCCGCATGAGTTGAAGAGTTATTATGGTTAATTAATGCTGCTGCATAGTCTGCATGAGTTTGAAGACTCTTGATTGAATTACTATAGTAATATTACTGCTCTAAATCACACGCAATTGTGAATCTAGGTCGAGTTTGCTTGTGTTGCTGTGGACTTTTGAATTAAAATTCCGGTCACAAACGTGAAACTGCAAGAGCAAATTTGTTCGTAAAGGCCACGGTTCTGTATGAACAAGGATATGGTTTATAGAATGTGGAAACTATGTTTGATTTCAACCTAGTATACAGCAAGAAGTTGTGAAACGAATATTTGGCACTTTAAATGGACATCTCTCTAAATTCATCATCACCTTGGAAGTTTTAAGTACTTTATCCACGGTGAGGTGTCATTTTTAAAATTTGATGTTTTTTCCTACTTGCTGGGTAAAAATAGTTCAGCTCATGCCGCCATATAGATCTTTAGGAATCTGACATTGTTTGTTCTGATTCAGGGATTGCATTGGATGCTTTTCAGCCGGATTCTGCATCTATTGCATCGAGCATAAAGTACCATGCAGAGTTCACACCTCTCTTCTCTCCTGAACAGTTTGATCTGCCCAAGGCATATTATGCCACTGCAGAGAGTGTTCGTGATATGCTCATTATAAATTGGAATGCAACTTATGATTTCTATGAAAAAATGAACGTTAAACAGGCATATTATCTGTCCATGGAGTTTCTTCAGGTTTGCTTTTATATTGGGAAGTTGCTTTTCATCAAGTACCAAAAAGTATGTGAATGTTGCATCAATGTATAATCTCAGATTGCATTATTTGTGTTTCGTTGCAGGGCAGAGCATTACTAAATGCAATTGGAAATTTAGAGCTAATAGGGCGCTATGCGGAAGCTCTGAAAAAGCTAGGCTACAGATTAGAGGATATAATTGAGCAGGTTGGTTAGTTTATTTATTCAGCTCAATAGGTACACAGGTGAATCAGTTAAAAATGTTTTTCCCACTTGCGTATTCTCGATACTTATTAATTTGAATGCCTATAATACTCCTGAACAGGCTCGCCCAAATTTAATTTATGCTGCATGGTAACGGCTTGACATTCCTGTACAACCAATTTTCCTCTCGAACCTGAGAGCCTTTGGTGTAATTAGTTGGGGGAAGTTTCACAATCAAATTTGAGTGGACTGACGTTTGTCAGTTGCTGGTTGATTTATATCTATAGTTTCCCTTACAGATAAAAATGGACTTCACTTCTTTTAAAGCTGTCCTTATCATGGTATTTTCAGGATGCATTTATTGTGACATTAGTACACTATCCCAATTCTCTTTCTTGATATTGACAGGAACCAGATGCTGCACTTGGCAATGGAGGTTTAGGGAGGCTTGCTTCATGCTTTCTGGACTCCATGGCCACCCTTAATTACCCTGCTTGGGGTTATGGTCTTAGATATAAATATGGTCTTTTTAAACAAATTATAACGAATGATGGCCAGGAGGAGGTTGCAGAAAATTGGCTTGAGGTATTGTTCTGCTCTATTTTCATTCTAAATTTTGGAAATATCTTGTAAGCTGATACGTTTCATTCCTGAATGTTGCTGTTGCAAGCAGTGTTCTTGTTCTAACCAAATTTCTATAAGTCAGTCTCCCATTGTTCTTTTGTTGACTGACCATAGTATTCTAACAGATGGGAAACCCCTGGGAAATCGTGAGAAATGATGTGTCTTATCCAGTGAAATTCTATGGTGAAGTTACCGAAGGCCCAGATGGGAGAAAAGAATGGGCTGGAGGAGAGGACATAATTGCTGTAGCCTATGATGTTCCAATTCCAGGATATAAAACTCAAACTACACTTAACCTTCGTTTGTGGTCCACAAAAGTTGCTGCAGAAAATTTTGATTTAAGGGCTTTCAATGCTGGGGAGCATGCCAAAGCATATGATGCTTTAAAGAAGGCTGAAAAGGTTTACTTTGACTCATTACTCTTTACCATCTTAATGAATTTTTCTTTGAGGACCATAAGTGAATACAAATACACTTTCATGCGTTATATTCTATCTGCTGCCCACTTTTTTGAGTTTAGAGCACCAAAGTTCAGTTGTTTCCTACAGGTATCCAAGCGAAACATATGCACATTTGTTTCCAATTGTCCATCTCTGTGAGGGGAACCTGAACCACTCCTTTGTTGAATCATTTCCTCCCATATTTTTATTTACTAACTAATAATGGCTTTTCATGTCTTATGTTCTGATGGTTAAATTAATATCTTGATGGAACAGATCTGCTACGTTTTATACCCTGGTGATGAATCTCTCGAGGGAAAGACACTTAGATTGAAGCAACAATACACACTATGCTCTGCCTCTCTCCAGGATATTATTGCACGATTTGAAAGGAGATCAGGGGACTCAGTGAACTGGAACCAGTTCCCTGAAAAGGTTGCACTGCAGATGAATGATACACACCCTACGCTATGCATACCAGAGCTGATAAGGATATTAATGGATGTGAAGGGTTTGAAATGGAATGAAGCATGGGAAATCACTCAAAGGCATGTATGTTTTATTTCTGAACTATTTCATGTGTTTCTTGAGTCAAGTGCCTTAATTCTGTTAATTTGTGTTCGGGATTTTTACTAGTGACATCTTACCTCTGATCTGAATTTTCCAGTGGTGAGTTCTGAACCTAGTGCATGTTGGCCATCTACATGCGTATACAAAGAAGATAGGTTCAAATAATTGTTGGCCCAGTGTATGGATTTTTTATGCAACTTAGAATACATACCATCTATGATTGTTCTAAAATGGTTCTTGGCATTGTTGCTGTTTCACCTTCATCAGAACTGTGGCATACACTAACCACACTGTTCTTCCGGAGGCTCTG